TTTAGCTTTGCGTTAAAGAGTTTATAGGGCACTAAAACCGTCCAGGTAAAGAAAAAACTAAGATAAACAGAAGTGAACAACAAGGTTTTTTATGTTTTATTCACTTCCTGTCAGCAGCTGTATCGATGGTGCTCATAACCTGAAGAAATGGCTGTAAGTGTTTCTAAAACATAAAATTCAGAGTTGTTTTTGCTCGTTCCACAGAATTACTGAAAATTAAAGTGGAAGAAACGGTGCATGACTGCATGTTTAACAGCCTGTTTGGAAGCTGAACGCCTGCAGGAATGAATGGAATCTATGACCAATAAAAACAAAAAACATGAAACATAAATAAAGCTGCAGATGTTTCACTGAAAACAACACAAGTTAGGAAAAGAAAGATTAAGAGCTTTGCAAACATGCATTCTCCTGAGTTTATTTTATTTATTATTTACTGTTTTTTGTCTTATTGTGAAATATTAATAAAAACTTATATATAAACTTAATAAAAATATATATTCCTGTGGCATTTAGGGGTTGAAATGACAGTAAATTATCTTTTCAAACAGCGTGGGGTTTATGAGGGGGTCCCTGGAATGTTTTTGCTCATGTGGGTCCCCAGACACAAAAGGCTTGAGAACCCCTGGATTAAATGACTGATTCAGAAAAAAACTAAAGTGATAAAAAATAAATCTCAGATGATGCATTTTATTTAACTTTCTTATTAATCTGAGGTGACAGATATAAGCTCACAGTTTAGAGGAGCCCCTCGTGGCCCCCTGGTGCTGCCCTGCCTCAATCTGGACGCCGGATCCAGAGGAGGTATAATTAAACAAATCTCCCTCTGACTCATTCTGGTCTGTGCAGACACCAACCATGGTGACAGAGGGGCTGTTCCGTCATCCTCCCCGGCAGAGAAACTGTGAGGATGCCGAGTGTTTCTGTTCCGACACCCGAGCACAAAATAAACACTCGCAGAAAAGACGTAGATGTAAACGTACGAAGACAGAGAGCGATACGATTCAGATTATTTTAATTCTAACCCGTCCCTGATACGTGCTGATCCCATTCTCCTTCTCCAATTACATGATAAAAATAATAACAACAAATGTTACACAAGTTTCAATTTAAACAAAAGCAACATTTAACAAAACAAACAAAACATATGAACACTAGAATATATATAATTATATAATAAAAACAAATTTAAGATAGTTTTCATTGTATCGGTGAACACATGTACGTATCAGCTGATGCCGATACAAGAAAAAAATACACAAATATTGTCCCAAAATATGGGTCAACCTCTAATCATCATCATCTACTGAGAGATAAATACACAGATAGACTGACGACATGAAGATAAACAGAATATATAGATAAAAGTGACTAAAACTCTTTATTAAAATGATGTTTGTGTCTTCATCCATGACTTACAGCCGACGCAGAGCGCACCGCATGTTGGCCACGGTTTACGTGGGCCGCTGGTGTCGGCTGCTTACAGAGTTGTAAAGTAACTAAGTACAAATACTTTGTTACTGTACTTAAGTAGAATTTTTGATTATCTGTACTTTACTTGAGTAACTATTTTTCAGTGTACTTTTTACTTTTACTCATTACATTTTTACACAATTATCTGTACTTTCTACTCACATTTTTTAAAAAGATAAGAAGTAGAAAGTCGTTACTCCTAATTTATTCTGAGTTGTTATTAGTTAAAAAATATCATCCTGATAAATTGTGTCTCCTGGACAGAGTGAGTTTAATTGTGTTTGGATGAGAAGTATAAATATATACCATTCTGACACACTATTAGCTTGTACACAACCCATCACAGCTGCACGCTGTTAGAAAATATA